TCTTCTCTCTAATCACTCTCATGGTACTTTGAGGGCATACACCGATTGGTTTGTGCAGCTCCGCTTCAAGGTGAACACACATGGGTTGCATCTGAAATTGCATACGCTCTATATAGTTAGGTGGAAAAAGTATGTGACAAAAGAAGTATGTCTGAGTACTCACAGTATTCACAGTACTCAAAGAGTACCATGATGGTCACTTCCGGTGAGATTCTGACGAGACTTTACTATCCCAAGTTCAGACCGTACTCATTAAGTAATTGTGAGACAAAATATTCATAAAAGTCTGGAATCCTTATTAAGTGTACAGCAAATAAGACAAGATGATAAATAACCCCAATAAAACAATATAGAAGCTCAGCATTTGAAAAGGAAATCTGATTTACAAAATCAGGATATTAGGCCAGTTCAAGTAGTGAGTTTGAACAACACACACACACATACACACACAAAAAAGCTATTTTGAAGAAAATCACTCAATACATGTTCAAAAGTCACAGAGGTGTTGGGTGTTTGCTATGCCATCTACTGCACATGGATGCAAAGTTATTCTCAGTCTGCTTTTAGTATGTTGCTATATGCACTTGCTATATTAGGTTCTGAATAGCTTTTAGCATTTTGCTGTGTGGTTGGTTGCTATAGGCTGTTCTGTTAGTGCATCTAAATTCATGTTTTTACTATTCTTTGCTTTTTAATAGCATAAATAGTGTGAGTAGTGTTCAAGCTGAAAAATACCCTGATAATGCACTTAATTAATCAAAAAAAAAAAAAAAAGAGAGAAAAAAAACTAAATGTGTCATGATGGAAAATATACAAGTTACAGCCCTAACCCTAACCCAACTGTCACAGCTTTCCTTACTAAGCAGAGGGTGAGGGGGTATCAGGCTCCAATGTTGAATGACAAAATAAGTAACCTTATAAAATTCACAAACTACACGGCCATGGTCTTTAGCATGTTGCTATGCAGTTGCTATTGTGTTCTGGGTGGTTTTTTTTTAGCATGTGTCTAGGTTTTTCAGGGTAGTTTTGAGCATGTTGCTATGCAGTTATTTACAAGTAGAGCCGAAATTCTTTACCTTTCATTGGAGTATCAATTGAGTAATAGACTGTTAGGGTTAGGTTAAGGTTAGGAGAATAAGGTGTTAGGGTTAGCAAATTAAGTTGACATGTACTTATAGTAAGTAGAATCTGTTGGGGTGCATTAAAATAAAGAGTTAGCAGATATTAGGCAGACCATCCACCAATACTTTTATGACAAACTCTGCTTGACAACTCCAGCCTATCTCTGGCCAAGAATTAAACTGCAGAAACAGGCTTCTTTTAAAGTTAAGGGGAGACACTAAGGAAGGTACTTAATGTAATGACAAGTTTGCTATATTTTATTCATTTGTCTTAAAAAGTGTAAAGCATTGTGGGTTTTCGACATGGTAATGCTTATAGAGAGATTGACAGATTGGACCCACTTGGTCAAGGTTTAGCAACTGCAGTTAAATGTTGGTTGTTGTATATATATATATATATATATATATATATATACTGTATATGTTGTGTATATATATATATATATATATATATTCTATATAAATATTCTATACTATGGCAAGCGAGAGCCATTGGAACAGAGCGAGGCCAGTGGTGTGAGTGTTAATGGGCGCCACACACCACACCGGTCTCAAGTCTCAAGGAGGAGCTATGGAAGGATAAAAGGAGGAGTATCGTCAGAGAAGGATGAGAGAGGACCAGGCCTGGGACATTTATGTTAGTGTCTTAGTTTTTGTTTATTTGGCAGTCATCCATGAGGGGCTGCTGCTTTACTTTCAATTTGTTGTTTTGTTTATTTGGTAATACTTTAGTTGAGGGTCCAATTATCACTATTAACTAGTTGTTTATTAGCATACATGTTACTAGTATATTAGCATTTCCTCACCCCCATTCATTCAAGGCCTATTAGGCCATGAAGCCTGACTTTTTTCAATATTTATAAAATTCTCTGGTATATTTTGTTCAATTTGGAAATCTGTTTTTACACAAGGAGGGGAAACATGCCCCAAACAAAGCAGTTTGATGGCTATTTTGCAGCACTCTGTCACCCTTTGACATAAACCCCTTTATTGTTTTATCTCTATGAGTGGGAGGATGGACATGGTATTAAACAAAAAGCACTGATAAGGTTGTGCAGAGGAAGCGTTATGTGCGCCAATCCCCAACTGACTTCCAAGATCCATCAAGGCATTTCCCCTCCACAGGAAACACCCTCACCAGGGAACATGTACGGAATGCTGCCTTTTGTTCAGAGCGGGAGATAAGCGGCGTGACAATACTCCAAGTGTGGTATTTTTGCATCCTCTCGCCATCAAATGGAGGTTTATCGAAACGAAGGGTCGGTAATGTGCTGTCTCCATCTCTCAGCTGGTCCTACATCTGGTCCAATGACTCACTGTCTACTCCCTGCAGGAAAATTGGGCTTAACTTCCCATCTATCTTGTAAGATTACATATCACCACTTTCTGTGCCAAAAATTGTGATTCTTCTGATTAATATGGTTGGAAAATAACTGACGCTCTTTTGCATAAGCACAGATATATCAGGCCAAACACAATCAGCCCAACTTTCACTAAACAGAGGATCTTTCACAGGTCAGTTTTGTTTTTTCTGAACAAAATTTAATGAGAAAATCTTTACTCAAAACTTTTTGGCAATTTTTTTCTCAAATCTATATCTTTGACGTATTACCAGGTTTAAAAATGGATGTCCCAGTTTCACAGACATTGCTTAGATTAAGCCAGGATTAGGGATTAGTTCAATTAAGGAGCTTTTTTAAACCTTAGAAAAAAAAAATTAAAACTGATGTGCATCTTGAGACAAAACAATAGCACTGGCATATTTTAAGATATGATTACAGTTGAATCAGCTCAAACATGCATTTTAGTCTGGGACTAGGTTTAATAAATAAGGGAGGGGTCTAAAAAAGTGATTATGTGTAGCTTTTCACATCAATATTTCTTTTTGATTCCAGGGACTCGAGATTCAGTTCAGCTAAGATTATGTTTTTGCACTGTAAACTTATAGTAATAAATCAAATATTCAGTATCAGATGGTGCTAAACTAGAAATGCACAAAGGCAGATTTTATATTCATAACAGCCATGCTGTATATTAGTAAAAGTGAAATGTGATAAATGTAACTGTAAATAAAAGAGCACTATAATATAAATTATTACATGCAATGTGTGCAAAATGAGGAACAACCTCAAACACTATTTATCTTCTGATTATGACATCACAGCAAGTTGATATGAAAAGCACCATTTAAACTCCAAAGATGCCTTTTTAAATGGAAAAGAACATCACTGTTATTGTTCATATTGTTGAATTATGTAGTTAAAAGTTTAAAATCTGCCTCTTTCACAATTCAATGCATTTATTTAAAGGAGAAATACATGTTTAAAATAATGTGACGTGGTCTGAAATTATTTAAAGTAAATAAAATGATGACCCTAAACTAAGATGGAAATCCTTTTTACTATACATAACACAAATTAAAATTAAAAACATGGATAATGTACATAAAACTATCCATTCGTGCAGGAGGAAATTGAGGGCTGCATTGTCATGCAGCATCTGAAACAACTAATGAATTATTTTTTTACCAGTGTTGCATCATTGTCAGTAAACAGGCAGAATTTCCTTATTCTTCCTCTGAATATGTATTAATAAGAAAGGGGCACAGAACAACCTTTTAATTCAAACAGCACCTCAGAGAGCAATCAATGCAATGTGCAGCCCTTTTGACATCACTAAACCGTAAACATCTTCAGGCTGTCTTCTTGTATTACATGTTGGCAATGGCAACATTATAAAAGCATGAAATTTACATCACAAAATATTGGTGGTATTACAATTTCAAACCATTACTGGCCTTGAGACAAAGGATAAGCACAGCCAGCTCTCCATGACTGGAGTCTCAGACCTGCTGTTTAACAGCCTCAGGTTAAGAGAAGGGCTCAATTTCATATTCAAGCACTGTTTGTAAGAGCCTCTGTATACCGGATGGTGAAGAAATAATGCAAACTGGCTCAAGTATGTCATCAGTTTTAGGTCTTAAATGGATTCTAGCACTTTTGCCATTGTAGATATAATCTGTCTCAAACAGTAATGAATGATGTGCTGGCATAGAGCTTCATATTCTTACAAATGTTCAGCACACACACAGTGATCATAACAAAATGACAAAATCAAATTTTTTTTAAGTTTTAAGAGTCTGAAAAATGTTAAGAATAAAACAGATTCCATTGTATTAATATTAATTAAAAATGATGTAAACTTGCACAGATTTATTATGATATCCTGCCTTGAATATTTTGTATTTGACTGGTTCCAAGATATATATATATATATATATATATATATATATATATATATATATATATATATGAAGAGTTCAGATGCAAAAGCCTCTAAGTGCCATTTGAAATTTTCTTCTAAATTGATCATTTTTATCAAGCTTGTATATGTTCAGTAATTTCACTTAAATGGCAATGAAGATTACCTATTAATTGTCATTTAAGTGAAATTACTGAACTTAAATATACAAGCTTGATAAAAATGGTCATTTTAGAAGAAAATTTCAAATGGCATTTAGAGGCTTTTGCATCTGAACTCTTCATATATTGCATTCCATATTACTGATTAACCTTTATGTAGTAAAACACAAAAACTAACTTTGCCAGTATTTGATCTTCATGCATCATTCTTCAAATTCTGAAAATGTGTTTATATTGAGCTTAGATGCATAAACATGTACAAACAAAAAATGTGAATTGTGCTACTGGCCCAAGCCAATAGACTCTCCCTCAAGGATTTTGTCCTTTCTTTATTGTATGTTTATACAATTCTTCATGTTTATTATCCACTAGATAATTCACCAAGTTCAAACAATAATAATAATCATTTCCTTGGCAAGGAATAAAAAAAAAAAAAAATAAAAAATAGAAACTGAGGTATAAAACATTGGAGTTTTAATGGAGTATGGAGGACTGACAACTCAAAAGGAACAATCACGAGACACTGTCAGTACACACACTTTCAATGATGAACAAAGATCCATTGAAAACAAAAGTAAATCTGAAATGAATGAAGTCCAAGAAAACTCAGAATCTTTGTGTTGAATGTTGTGCTGAAAAGTAACAGCGGCATGTGATAATGGAAAAGTGAGGGTAATGGTTTTGGCACACAATGTAAAGTATGAAAAGTATGATGTATCAAACGCACCATCAGAACATTTGCTTTATGTTTTTCTTTTTCTGTATGAAGACATGATATCACTGAGAAATATTGAAAAGTTGGACAATGTGACTGCGCTCTTTCTCCCCCGTCCTTCACACTGTTAAACTTTGGTGCAGAAGCATTGCTGGCATGTACCTTCTCTGAACAGGCGATTTATTTGCAGCCCTTGGATAAACATGTGCATGTTTCCACTCTCTCTAAAGAGATGCACGTCTTTTTAATCCACAATGTAACAGAAATGTATTTTTTTTAAAAGAGATCCAAGAAAACTATCTAAAAACAATCAAAAACCACTATCTAGAATAAAGATTAGACATATTTTACGCACCACTGGTAACCACCACCAGCCCAGCAGTAACACTTCTTAATATGCCACTTTTGACATATATTCACACAAGCATAAAGTAGCAGAAAGAAGCTCTTGATTAAGTTTGCGAACACTGCGCTTTACCGAAGAGTTTTACCATCTTACTACAACTGTGATTCATTCATTGAACCATCAAAACAATTTGAAGACAGACAAACAAGAATGAGTGTTCAAGTAGATAATCCTATATAACTGTTCTGCTCATTGTTTCATTCTCAACTCTAGTCCTCGGGACCAACTGCTCTGCACATTTTGTATGTCTCCCTTATTTAACACACCTGATTCAGATCCTCAGCTCGTTAGGATAGACTCAATGAACTGAACTGAGTGTGTCAGATAAGAGAGACATACAAAATGTGCAGAGCAGTGGGTCCCGAATACTGGAATTGAGAACCACTGCTGTATATATAGTCTTATTTAGCTACCAACAGGCAGTTTAACACAATGCATCATCTTTAGGCCCAGATGAACTAACATCAAGTAAAACCTGTAATATAAAAAAAAAAAAAAATGTATGACAAAATCAATAGTAAAATCCTCACAGGATTTTTGGATTTATTATCCACAGTGTTTGAATGATTACATGCACATATATTTATGGCATAGGATCCAGCACAATGTTTTTCAGGCATACTTCCTCATTGCACACACAGAAATGCTGTGCAATAATAAAGATGAGGGTGTAAAGACAAGAAACTCTTCATGTCTTCAGACAGTGATTCGCTTGATGCCCATGAGCTCAAGCTAGGAAGTCTGGACAGCAGGACTGTTTGTAAGTTGCAGAGGAAACCCAGCAGCAGATGGTTTCACTTCCTGCTTGCACTTTAGGTGAAGCACTTTAAGCAAAAGGTCGACATGGTAAATATTTGGTTTCCTCCAAACTCCAGGTTTGGAGTGCCAGGTCAAAAAAATCTTCACAGTGAGCACAAAGCCACGATGCAACACGGCATATACGTGGACTAGTCGTGCTGCTCTTTGGAAAGGAAAACACTTCCGTGTTGTTTTCAAGTTTAAGTGCAGCCGCAGAGTGTCAAACGCTCCCATTTCTCAAATGTAAAAATTGAATTAGGCCATCAGAGGTGAAGCATGATGGGAACATAGAGGAAGAAGCTGACTAACACTACTGATGTACCGATATGATGCATCAGTCGGACTCAGTAGGACGGCCATTCAAGGCTTTTTACAGGCAGCTTTGGCTTTCCCATTATTGCTGGACTTGAGCTGTGTCATCTCCACCTCGGCTATGGCTTCTGATGGCAAACTGCTACGCATGCGCTCAATGGTCTTCTGGTAGGAAGCTTTCTCCTGTTCCAGAGAGCGGATCAGGTGCTTCATCTTGCTCTCTCGTGACAGGAAACTCTCCACGCTGCTCTCCAATGTCTGAATTTTCAAACGAGCCGCCTGTTAATAAGAAAAGCAAACATGAGCACTGGGCGATGGATGAAGCTTGTGAAGAAACTATGCACAATTTTTGTCATGCGACCATATACACTATTGTTCATAAGTCTTTGTGAGTTTTTGAAAGAAGTCTGTTAAGCTCACCAAGGCAGCATTTATTTGATGAAAAATACAGTAAAACTGTAATATTTGGAAATATCATTACAATTTAAAATAATTGTTTTCTATTTTAATATTTTTTTAAATGTAATTCATTCCTGTGGTGGAAAAGCTGACTTTTCAGCATCCATTCCTCCAGTCTTTGGAGTCACAAGGTCCTTAATATGCGAATTCAGTGCTTAAGAAATATTTCTTAGAATCAAAAAAAGTAAAAAAAAAAAAAACTAAAAAAAAACTGCATTTATTTAAATGTTATTTAAATGTAAATGTTTATTTAAATCCATTTAATTGGATTTTTGTGGAACAACAGCCACATTTCAACCGTTGGCGATAGAACAGACGATATGAGATGTAAATAGCGACCGTGTTATAGAGGATGATCAGATATTTCTTTTAATTTCATTAACTTTGCTCAAACAGTGCAGTTGGCCAACTATAGAGAAGCTGGCAGCCAGGCAACAGACAAGTGATCAATCCTGACGTCACTACATGCAGTCAACCTGGGGTGCTTTTCCCGAAAGCATCGTTAGCCAACTATGGTCGCAAGTTGGTCGGAATTTCCATTGAACTCTATTGGTAACGGTGGAACTGGGAAACGCACCCCAGCACGGTTCTACCAGCTGGCTAACCGTGCTGAATTTCAGGGTGTGAACGGTTTGTAATCCTACCGTGACAAACCAAGCTCAAGTGGAAATATAACTGGTACCGTTCCTTACCGTTCTGCCTGACAGTAGAAAAGCAGCTAATGTAAAAGTCTTTACTGTTACTTTTGATGGATTTAATGCATCCTTGCTGAATAAAAGTACAGAATGCTACTTTCAGATTTAACATTTAAAAGTAGATTTTCCACATCTAAAATACTAACATACATATACATATATATGCACATACATACATACACATCTATAAATCGATAGATAGATAGATAGATAGATAGATAGATAGATAGATAGATAGATAGATAGATAGATAGATAGATAGATAGATAGATAGATAGATAGATAGATAGATAGATAGATAGATAGATAGATGTGTATGTTTGTATATGTAAGTATATTATGGAAGTAATTCTAATAGTATTATTGAGTCATCTATATCCTATTACGTTAGTTTGGAAAATTAGGACACTTTCCTCTATAACATGTTTCTAGGAACAGCTTGGTTTTAGCAACAGGTTGTTTTTAAGAACAAATTGGAGAGGAGCATGCTGTGACATTGCATGTTTAGACTAATGGATTTTCAAGGATAATTCACTCCCCACATTCATAAACACCAGTGGATGACCGATCAACAAGCTATTATCAGCTGAATTCCTATTACTTTTAATTTAAATGTGAAAATCAAAATACCATTTTAATAGTCTTTGGTAGTAAACGAAGAGGCGTATCTGTAAAGATATCCAGTTTCAGGCTGTTTGTCTTTTGTACTGTACTGCCACACACTGGCAATAAAGACACACACACACACACAAAAAAAAAAACACTTCTCTACTTCTGCTATAATGCGATATAATATCTACATACCTGCAGTTTCTCTAGCAAGTCCATGTTCTGTTTCTTGAGCTGGGCATTGGATTTCTCCAGTTTATCCAGCCTATCAGACTCCTCTGATGGAGGAGGAGCGTCTGACAGCTCATCCTGCAGGACGTGGTACTCCACTTCATATGCGTGCAGCTGCTTGGAGATGTCCATTTCAGTCGCCTGCAAAACACATTTCATACTGACAGTTATTGTCAAAGAATATGCCACAGGTTCTTTCAAATTATTTACACACATACTGTAACATATACATATATACAAAAATAGAATACGAATTTAGTATGTACCTTAGTAGTATGTATTTAGTATGTCACTTTGATCATGCCATATGGTCACTTTACGGTATAGTATCCAATTGCAGTTAAAAATAAAAGATATTGATCAAAATTTTATCATATATTTGTAAATAAATAAATAAATAAATAAAAAATTCCTTGGCAAATAATTGATATGAAGTCGAAGTACTTAAAATACAATTTGAATTTTAATACATAGAGAATGAAACAAAATGAATAAAATGTAAACTAAAATAAAAATAAAGTGTAACTCAACCTTAACCCATTAATAATCCTATATAAATAATACTAAAATAAAATAGCACTGATATTACTTAAATACTCATTTGGAGACTGTATGGAATATTTTAATTGAAAAAAAAAATTAATAATAAAATCGAAAAATCAAACTGTGGTCGATTTAAAACAATTGAGAAAAGAAAAAAAAGATTAAAAATGGTGAAACGCTTAAAAGAATTGCTAACAGGATCCAAACCTTACACTTTCCCTTAAACATTACATTCAGAATTATTTTATATTAAATTCTAAAAATCTATTATCTGATTATGTGCCAGCTCTGAGAAAAAAAAAAACAACAAAGTGTAAAACATTTTTTAGTTGTTGATGAAATTAAGACCCTGTATATGCAGGAATAAAGTTTATTCCATTTTAAATGTACCTTGTTGATCGTCTCTTCCATTTGGCTGTGAGTGAGGTTGGGGATGGTGGATTTAAGGTAGTCCACAATACTTTCAAAGCAGTCACACTCCAGTATCTCCCCCTCGTGGTTGCTCAGCAAACACAAGGCCACCTTAAAGATCACCTCTGTGCCTTGGACAAACAGGAGGTCTGCCACAGAACACACATAAACGCACAAGAGTCAAACGCTAAGCACAGGCTACAATACTTGACTTATGCGTGAAATGCATGAATTTGAACACACAAGATCATTTCATGTTTCCCCTAAGCCCATCACATACCCTACATTCATGCAGGTCTGAATAAGGTAGTTACGTAGGAAGTGAAATATACCAAATATGCGCGCAACAAAGCCGAGCGGGAACTGAGAGGCGAAGAGAGTGAGGAACCACGGTGCGGCGTACAGGCTGGGGCAGATCTCGTGCTCCTCCAGGTGAGTATACAGGTTACGGTGATAGTCATGCAGCAGACGGGACAACTGGTACATCTGGATCTACAGAGAGAGAAAGAAGAAAAAGTCCTCACACTTACAGGTGTGACCTTTAAACAGGCTCTAACGCAAATAGCTGAGACAGCCCTCTCACAGGATTAAACATTGGTACATCTGATGATGAATAATCACTAACAGCTGAGGAGGAAATAGTGTGCAAGAGGTGGAGACGGCTGTTTGCATACCTCTAGAGCAAATGTGCATTAAGTCATGTGTATTAAAAATACTGATCATTGTAACATTATTAGGATTTGTTATTTACAAATCACTAAAAGAAAAGCACTAGTTTAAAAATATATATATATTATTTCTTAAATTTAAGGTGTGCTAGGTCACTTTCAATTTATGTTTCACTGGTCAATACATCAATGGCTTTGAATGTTATACTGACACCTGGTGGTGCGGAGGTAGCATTGTGCAAAAATGTTTCAAGGCTGATGACACTTCAAACATGTTTTTTTTATACATATATATATAAATAAAAGTAGTGTCTAAATAAGTGTCTAATAAAACATTGCTTTTGATGCTATAGGAAAAAATGTACATAACATTCAGTTCCACAAATTAGGACACATTGTTCTATACTCGTTCCTTTATCTGACACAAAAACCAGTTCTGCTACATTTAACAATAGGCATAATAAGAAAAGCAAACATGCCAGTTCGGAAAGAAAAACATGACCCAGTGAAATCTGACACGCTCTCACACACGGCGCACCTGCAGGGAGATCATGTCGGGACGGTACTGCCGACGAATGCCCAGATCGTACATGAGGAACTTGAGGGTGTCGAAAGCCTGTTCCTCGCTCATATGCAACAGTAGCAAACCGGCCACAAAACTGATGCCCTGGCAGTAGCCCACCTCCGTGTCCAGCAGGGAGTAGGCCTTCAGGAGATTGTACAGAGACAGCTGTCCAGCTCCCAGCTGAGCACTGAAATACTGGTGCGTTGGGAATGTCCGGCCTGGAAAGGTGAACATCACTTCAGTAATGTGCTGGGTCAAAAAATATAACACTATTCTGATGTCCATGTGAATTTGCTGCAACAACATGAAAATATAGTTGTAAAATCTGATTTGAGATTCATTAATTTCTGATAGTGTTTTATGATATTTTCTGTCGCATTTTATAGGCGATTTGACAATTAATACACAAATAACAACTTTGAAATGCATTCCATGTATGTAGTTTATCAGTATGCGTATTGCCCTATATAAACAAACTCTACGACGTGCTTGGTTAGATACAGACCGAGGTCGACAAGGATGGCGTGCTGCTGTGCTGTGAGCTGCTTGAGGAGATCCTGATAAGGCGTTTCAGGAGACTGCTGCCGCTGCGGCAGACGGTGACGCAGACGATACTGCTGGAAGAGGAGGAGCCACACCTCACCTCGCCGACTTTTGGGGACACCTAAAGAACACACACATACAAACTAACTGAGGAAAATCTGATCTGAGCATTGTTTAGAAGAGCAAAACAATTTCATGTTTATTTTAATCTAAAAAGTACAATTATATATATATATATATACACACATACTGTACATACTGTATATATGTGGTGATTAGTCCAATATAAATTAAAATATTATTTGAAAATTAAATAATTGTGCTCATCCAGGCTGTATTTTGAATCACTTTACCACAAATGCAGAGCCCACAAGATAATTTCTGATATCTCCCACCCTGCACACTACGCCTTCCAGTTACTGACCTCTGGGAGCCGTTACAGGACAATCACCTCCAGAACAACTCGCTTCAAAAACAGTTTCATTCCAAAACCAATAAACATTCTGAACGCTGAGGACTGTGGATTAAGCATGACCCCCTTATGTATTATGTATTCATGTGTTTGACACATACATGCATACATACATACACGTGTGTGTGTTACTTTATATGTTAATGCTTATTAAGTAGTCATTAATGGTCATTAAGTTAAATCAATCACTTAATCATCATTTATTTTATCAAAAATACAGTAAAAAATACTAAAATAAATATTAATACAATTTCAAATAACCTTTTTTTATTTGAATCCATTTTAAAATGTCATTTATTCCTGTGATGGCAAAGCTGAATTTTTAGCATCATTACTCCAGTCTTCAGTGTCACCTGGTCCTTCAAAAATAATTATAATATGCTGATTTGGTGCTAATAAAAAAAAAAAAACCTTTTGTGTAACAACAAAAAATGATGTAGGGTAGCATGCGACAAAAGGAAACAGTTGTTACCCTGGCAGACGGCACTGTTGATCTCTTCTTTGTCCCACTGTACTTTAGTGCGGCAGGGGCTGCTCAACTTTTTGTCCCACAGGGCCAGCAAATCTTTGGAGCACGGACACACTTCCGGGTAGTCCAGCTTCATTTTACGAATGTGCAATTCATCACGGCTGGCTGCAGGGTGAGAAAACTGTTTAGCATTCATTTATTCAGACTTAACATCAAAACAACAGGTAATTAATATATTGCTTTTACATTACTGGTTCTCAATTTGTGGGTTGTGACCCAAAAATGTGGACAGAAACGGGAAATATGCTAAATGCAATTTATCATCATTAAAATCAATTCCTATTTTTAAAATAACATTCTATCAGTATATGATTTACAAAATCTCATTCATCATATTTTAAGAGCGGATTACAATAATATACTGTATGTTCTTAAAACAATTCATATTGAAAAATGGCATTAAATAACATTTATTAGTAATTTGAGCTGGTTTTCCACTTGATATTCAATGTAAAATATGGGTCCACAAGCAAAACCAGTTGAGAGCCATTCATCAGAGTCATGCATACAATAATATAATAAGTTTGAGTTTGTAAAAATAAAAGTGCCTTTACAGAAGTGCATGTGCAATGGAAGCCTCACAGGCAAGCGGACATCACTGTCAATAAAATGTAGGATGCTGCTGATAGATTGATGAATAATAAGCACTCTCCATTTCCACAGCAACTTTAGACAAGGTTCAAAGCATACCAAGTCATGGCATGGCCTTTTACAGTAACATTAAGGCATCACAACACACTTGTACTATCCAATATAAACGCATATATGAACAGATGAATAAGAGAACGATGCTCTGTTGGACTCCAGGGTAACTCTGCAAATATTGCACTCAACAGGAGAAAATTATATCCTAAAAAAAAACACTTGTTATTGTTTATGGGCACTGGAGAACCTGTAGCTGCCTCATGCTGGTTTATATATATAGCAGCCAACAATAATATCATGCCAATAACTGCCAGAAATTTAGCATGTTCAGACAAGATGTCAATGCCATGGCTGTATTTTCTTACCTTCTACAATGACATGTTCATTCAGTTCGGCCCATCCAAAAGCACACAAAAACAGACAGAAAACATCAAAAGTAACAGGCAAGAGGAAGCGACTTGAGTCTCATGCGTGATGCAGTTTGGCCAACAGGGGGCAATGTTTCACATACATTTTGCCTTGCTCTTCCAAAGCAAAGTTGAAAATACATAATATTAACCTTTCATAATGTGTTAAAGAGGTTGAGATACTGACATTATTAAATCCTTTCTGAAAGACTAGAGCTACATATGTAGCCCAGAGGTCACAGAACTGAAAGTGCACGCTTACAGAACGTGAACGTCATCCAGACATTCCCATCTATAATTAACTTTGCTCCAGAATGTAAAATAGAGGCAGTGACACTTGCCCCTCTTAAAATAAGGCCATGGCAAAAACAACAGCCTAATTAGAGTGGCGGGAGGAAACACCACAATGTACCATGAACACTGGACTACTCCTGAAGGTTTACATCTGTATGCATTTGGCAGACACTTTCATTCAAAGTGACTCACAATGCAACTGACTTGTTCATACATTAGGTTTATATTATCAGTGCATGCATTCCCTGGGAATCAAACCTATGACTTTAGCCTTGTCAGTGCTCTACTGTTTGAGCAACTGGAAATATTTTAGTTTACCTAAAAAATACATTTCCGCCATTATTTACCAACACTATATTATATTATATTATATTATATTATATTATATTATATTATATTATATTATATTATATTATATTATATTATATTATATTATATTATATTATATTATTTAGATGGATCCATCAGATATTAAGATATTAAAAAGGAACTAAAAAATGTCATACAATAGGTTTTTCATGCATGCACATTTTCAAACTTGGTTTCAGAAAAATTTGAATATAGCACACAAGTTTATGTATGGTTCACGTTTATGGGGATTTCAGGGTGATTCATTTATTTATTTTTATTTTTTTAAGCCCCTGGTGACCCCTCCATTCATTTTTGGGAAAAAAAAGCTGTATAAACAATATTTCTCCTTTTGTGTTCAATGAAAGGAAAACTCAAACGGTTTGGAATGAGAAAATTATGACATGACTGTCTTTTCTGGTTGAACGAACGGACACCAAGTTAAGTGGATCTGCCAGTTATGTTATGAGTGAATCCAAGTGAGAGACAAGTTCAATTGAAAGGGAGAGAGAGAGAAAGAGGGGGAGAAAGATACAAGTAGAAACACTAACCTTCCAGACGCTGGTTCTCTTTCTCCATGCGGATGAGCAAAATCTGTTGGTGGATAGCTTTCTTCCACAGGGCCCTGTAGTCAGCTGGGCAACGCCGGCACTTCTCTCCACCAAAGCCCTGCTCTGGGGACAGAGGGCTGGCCTGAGAGTCTTGATCCTGGTTCAAAGCCCGAGGAGAAAGTGGCAGCAGCTCCCGGCCATCCATGTGGTCTGGAAAACAGCAGATGCTGAACAAAATGTCTAAGATCCATGCTCAAATGGCATGAAAAGATTCATAGTGTGATAAAGTTATTTAAGGAATGGAGTACTGTGTATTCCCCTGACCAAAAAAAAAAAAAAAAAAAAAAAAAAAAACTTTTAGGGTGTTTATTTTTCTTGAATCTCAGTAAAAGGGAGAGTTATCTTGAAGTTCAAAATCATGCACGACAATGATATACTGCAGTGTTGACTATAAATAGACTTGGGAGAACAGGGTGTAATGTTGAACCTGTCTGCTTGTCTGTGCATACGCTCAAGAATGTGTACCTACCCACGTTTTGCATAGAGGCGGAGGGTTTGTTCATGGGTGACGCTACCCTCAGGAAAATCTTCTGGCGCCAAGAAACTCTGCGTGGAGGCACCAAGGTCAAAGAATCGGTGCTACAGCCTGACAGAGACCTCTTCCTGCCCTCCCCATTACCACTGCAGGCAAACAAAACATGCTTATTAAAATGAGACAGATCTTTTTTTTTTTACCATGTGCTCTCAATGCAGGTGGTCAAACCAGTTATAAGCTAAAAACAACATACATTTATGTAACAAGTTCATTTAGCAAAAGCTCATAAGCAATAAGAAGCACAGCGTTTAGAGGTTCATAACAGATGTTAATTGGTTTCATGCATAAGCTACATAAAACACAGATTACCTGTTTTGAAGAATGAGAAGAACTATTAGGAAGTGAACAGAATGAAGAATAACTGAATAATGCATTGCACACAAAAACCTTGTGCAACACATGACTCAACTTATGTACAAAAACAAAAGGGTAACACTTTACTTGAAGGGGTGTGCATGAGACTAACATGACGCCTTCATAATCATTGCATGATGCATGTTATGAATACGAAGGAAGTTTTATGCATGTTTAAGTGTCATTTGCTCAATTCTAACATTTTTAATGCAAATATTACATTGTTTGAGATGTCATTGTTATGACACCTTGACATAAACCAATACATCATAACCTGTCAGTGTCTTTGTCATGACAACTTGACATTACTAAGACAACACAACCTGTCATAAACATGACATAGCAGATCAATTATCAAACTTAAGAAACCACTTAGCTTTATTGGTTAACATTACTTTAAACTGTTAGGTGGTTGGCTTTGACATCGACTGTCATGAAGCCATTATAACTTTTTAAATGACAAATTCAATTTGTACCACTGTAGTTGAGGTCAAGAAAAATATTCATGACACAGTTATGTCCAAACCAACCACATGACAGTTTAACTTAATTTTATGTCAAGATGTCATGACAAACACACTGACAGGTTATGATATATTGGTTTGTCAAGATGCCATAACAAAGACATCTTAAACAATGTCATATTTGCATTCAAAATGTCATTATTGAGCGAAAGACACTTAATGACAGTCATAAAAATGCATAAACCCTATTTCATATTCATGACATATGACATGTCATGGTTATGAAGGTGTCATGCCAGTCTTATGCACACCCCTTCAAGTAAATTGTTACCAACAAAAGAAAACAATCATACAATATTAAAATTTTACTGTAATCAAATAATTGCAGCTTTGGTGAGCATAAAAGACGTGATACTCCTTCTTATTATTAATGTTGAAAATGGTTGTATTATAGGATTATATTATGAATAGAAAGTACTAAAATATATTTATATACACACTGCACATCTGATCTCACCTTCCAGAAGAGATCAAACCTCCATTACTAACTCTAAAATGACGTTTTGAAATTAGCAACGGAGGCATGGGATTAGATGCGTAAGAAATTAGAGTGTTTTAATGACAACAACTTGACAAATGTCTTGAAAGGCATCATCAGAACAATGTTTTGAGGTGTGGTAACTGTAGTATAAGCGGAATAATTGACTTCAGGCAATTGAATTATTAGAAAAATAATGCACACCCCCCACTTCGCGTCATGACCCCATTACCACCTTGGATGTGCATTATTTTTCTAATAATTCAACAGCCTGAAGTCAATAATTCCTTACATATATACTGAAGTTTAATACTAAGAATTAGGGTTTATACAAATTATATAATTCCATTAGATAAGACATCTTTCAAGCCATTCCAAATCTAAGAAGTTTTATAGATTAATTTGTTCATTATCAAATTAATCAAATCTGTTTTATCCCCAGGTCTCTATCTATTTTCCCTGTACCTGCCTCTTTGCTAAGTTACCACAACACACACAAGCAACAGCAAGGACAATTCAATTAATGAAAGCGTGAAATGGGCTTGAATGTTATGCATTAACCCTGGACCAACCCTGACCGCAGCTCAACAGACAGGTGTGCTGCACATCCAATTACAAAAGACAGCTGGTGACAATCAACATACAAAGAGGAGGACCCTCTCTACAATTTGTAAAAAAATAGAGCAGGGCTAAGGAAGTGACATTTTAAAAATCTCCTCCTTTCAGAGCACTCAAAACATTGGACCATTAGAGCCCGCTATTTTTTTTTTATTTATTTTTTTTTTAATGAAGGCCGAATACACATCAAGGAACATCATTATCAGTTATCCCAAGTTAACTGTTGTTCAGATGAAGGAGAGCTCAGTTAAAATATTATTGTCCTGCATAGAAACCCTTGGGAGAGGGTCTATATTCCACGCATGTTCTATTCTAATACACTAGCCCTTGACAACTGCTGCTTTAAATTCTATTTAACAGCATTATAACAGGAACTTTGTTGAAGGGATCGTTCTCCAAAATAATTTATTAACTCTCATTCCAAACCTATGACTTTCTTTCTTCTGTGGAATATAAAATAAGATATTTTGAACAATGTAATGTAATGTAACAATGTTTGTTTTTTGTCCATACAATGGAAGTCATATACAGTAGGTAAACAATACTGTTTGGTTACCAACATTCTTTAAAATATCTTCTTTTGTGTTCTGCAGAACTCAGTCATACAGGTTTAGAATTACATGAAAATTAATAAACAAAGGCTTTCACACTGGGTAGTTATAGGAACTCAGTTATGGGAACTAGCCACCAGGACGGTCCACTGAGAACTATATTTTCACTGAGGGCCATTTTACTGACACAGACAGTCACTTACATCCTTTCGCTCTGGCTGTTCATCATAAAACTGGTTTAAGATGGTCTCCCAGCCTGGATAAGCTGGTCTAGCTGGTTGACAAGCTGCTCTTTAAACCCAAAACCACTCTAAAAATCAGGTTGGTATTCAGGGCTTAGCACTGAAATGGTTCTCTTCCTATTTGAAGGATAGGACCTTTTCATTGGGGATTATCTTTCTTCTGTTGCCCCTCGTCTGTGGGGTTCCACAGGGCTCGATACTGCGACCAATTTTATTTTCCCTTTATTTGCTCCCTCTAGGCTCGATTTTTGTGAAATTTGGGATTCTGTATCATCTGTATGCGAATGATTCTCAAATGTATTTACCACTGAAACATGGGCATACATGTGCCATTCAGTCTCTCCATGCATGTTTGGGCGAAGTTAAGTGTTGGCTTAGGAATAACTTTGTCCAATTAAATGAGGATAAGACCAAGATGATTTTATTTGGAAATAAGGGGTGTGTGGATGATGACTGCCAGGGGTTGTTTCCTGGGAAAACAAAAAACAAAAAAACTGTCTAACGCAAAGAACCTTGGTGTCATTTTTGACTCTGGGCTTAAATTTGACCAGCAAATCAATGCTGTTGTTAAGAATAGTTTTTTCCATCTTAGATCAATTTCTAAATTGAAATCTATCCTTTCTTTTGACGATAATGGAGAAGGTTGTTCATGCCTTTGTGTCATCCCATTTGGATTATTGTAATGTATTGTTTCTGGGTGTGAGTCAGGCTTCTCTCTTCCGTTAGCAGCTCGTACAGAACTCAGCTGCCAGACTTTTAACGGGTACTAAGATCCCGCAATCCCATTTAAAATGTAAAGGTGATCGGGCTTTCTCTGTTGCAGCTCCTAGGATCTGGAATGACCTTCCCCTGTCTGTAAAAGCTTGTCCTTTATTGGGTGCTTTTCAGAGTGCACTTAAAACACTTGTTCTCTTTAGCATTTGATAGTGCTTTGTAAGTTTTTATGTCATATGTTTGCATTGTTTTGTCTTTGTTTTTACTTTCTATTTTATACCTTCTGTACAGCACTTTGGTGCCACTTGTGGTCTTGAAAGTGCTCTATAAATAAAGTTGAGTTGAGAGTAAAGATGAGAAGAAAGTTCTGTGACAGTTGATGGATGCAATATAGATGATAAACGCTTTTGTTTACCATTAGTTAGTAAAGATGCCAACATGCAATTGAGGTTTAGCATCCCTTTTGTCCGGTTGACAATGACAAAGTCCAAAAATGTTGACAGACAGAAAGAGAGAGTAAGTTACAGAAGTGGTTCTTCTTAACTGACGATACAGTGACTGAAGCCTTTGGGTTAAGAAACAGACAGGTGCAGAGAAGGCCGCTATCAGCTCGAACCTCAGGCACCCCCGGGGGAAAACGCGATCGACGCCCCCTCTCACCTCTTAAGACTCCCGCTGTCCGACAGGGAGGCCAGTGAGCCAAGGGAGCCTTGGTAAAAGCTTTTCAGGAAAGTGGGGGTGTGGAAGGAGGACGAGAGACTGAAGTAGGAGTCACTCTCAGAGACACTGCGCACTCTTGAGATACCAACAGTGCTGAGGGCCGAAACATAAAAGGCCCACGACAAATACACATTTCATTACAAAGGTCTAAACACAGCCATGGAACCACAATCTAGAACACATGAGCGCCTCTGAGCAGATGAAAGATTATAATTATTTTAGGTTTTGCCTGGATTTACTGGATCATTTTTTACCATTACTTTTTTAAATGCTGAAAAAGTAAAAGTTCTGACAAAAATACATAAGCTTAATATAATTTTACCTATATTAAATCTATTAGAGATGACAATATATTTGGGGGAAATTCTCAGTATGGGCTGACACTAGATAAATTAACTGGCTTCAATTACTTTTCAAACAATTGACAGACTCCCATCAATAAAATGTTGATTCATTAAAAATTTGTTGACAAAATTCAACAATAAAAATCATATGCATCACATTCTCTAGATTTAGTAATTTTCTAAATGATTTGAATTAGTGCTAAATCCAACTATACACAGACATGCCACATGCACTCTTGACCATGTAAGCATTCATGCTCAAATTTGAGTTTATATGTATTGAAGAATATTTATGATTGTAAAAAAAAAAAAACACAAGCAGTTTTCAGCACATCAGCACATAGCTGTGACTGTCTATTCATCATATGACTGTTGAATAACAGAAGTAAAGATAACTGGCTTTATCACATGAGAGCAAACAGGAAGAAATGCATTACCTGCTCTGCAGCAGCTCTGGGGCCAAAGACTGCTGCCGGCGCAGTGGAGCCTTACAGGCCTGGGATGAAACCTCAGTGAAGGAGATCTTCTTCTTGATGGGCGGGTGGCTGAAGGTGTGTGCCCGGCGACGGAACTGCGGGGCATCTGGGTCGTCCTCAAGGTAACTGGGTGGAGTCCCAGGTGGGGAGTCACCAGGAGAGTCGCCCTGCAGGGTGAGCAGATAATGAACCGGGTCAGTGATTTGTTGAACCCAACAACCTCAGACGATGAGATTATATTTTTTGATGTCAGACAAATTAGTTTACCAATGAGTCCAAACTCAAATTCAATAAAGATCCATCCCAGACAGAAACAAGCAATTTACTGAAATGTACAACCTTCAAATTTCAGACAAAGCAAAACAACTGACTTGACACCAACTACATCAAACTATTGATTCTGAACTCACTCAGGATTTTCCCTCTCCCCGTCCTGTCTCGTTCGCTTCCCCAGTCAGAAGTGGCTGTGTTGGCGGTAGAGTGACTGCACACTTTGTGATCTATTGTATGTTAATAGTCTGTGTAACAGAGCCACATCACACACACATGAACCATTGGAGGTGGACCGCAGCACAATGGAGGTTTTTGGCTGCTGTTTACTGTGATGGCTATAGGAAGGGTCTCTCTCTCTGGCTCTCTTCCTCACTCTGTTTCCTGTCCTTGTTGTATGGCAGTTCCTGAACCCATGCTCTCCTGTGAGTCAGTAAATAGCAGGGCCAGGAAACCAGTAACGGCTGCACAACGCTCTCTCTCCTTTCACTCGCACAAATCACAAACCCTGTCCACTTCCTTCAGCTGCCTACAGCTAAATTTGGGAAAAACAAATTATCTAAACAATATAATAGCTCTCGTCATGGTAATACCAAGGGAACGGGAGCCTTCAAACAGCGCAAGATTTGATCGATTTGAGACTAGTAATTATTCAAATGGCTTAGAAAAAAGTTTTACTGAGAAAAGGTATTAGCATAATTTGTTTACGGATGCCACTTCATTTTGTATACACAATTGTTTTGTATATTTTTTAACATTTTTGGTTTGCACACATTTTGACCAATGAATCTCCGTGATTTTTCCAGTTGTTTAAGATTTCTGAATAAGGATTGTAAAAAAAACCCTCAAAATTCAAGGAAAATTCACTAACATACCCATTACTATGGCTTGTGACTGCAAGCAATTTTAAAAGGGGACCTATCATGCAAAATTCACTTTTAAATGGTGCTTGAAAATACTTTAAAACAAGTGTGTACACAACCACCCTATAATGGTAAAAATCCACCCACTCCACTTTTCTAATCCCCATAAACAGCGTCTCAGAACAAGCTGTAAGCAGATTCTAGCAGTGTGACATCACATGAGCTTAAGCTCCACCCATGACAACTGACAGACTCTGCCCTATTAGCATATACCCTGCCCTGAGTTAGCTCTACAAACTCCACCATGTTTATCTCCTCGCCAGAGCATTTAACAGCTATTCAGTCAGGAGCAGCGAGTGATTTTCTGTTTTTCTTTTCTTGTTTGATTCACATTAACAGCATTTATAGCAGAAGGTTCTGCATATTATGCGGCTTTCACTTTAATACACAGATCTAATATACACATGCGATTTCTTTCCCTGCTGTTCACATTCACAGACATAACTAACTATGATGTGATGTGAACTTTGTGTTTTTGACATAACCTTGAGTGTATTTGAAAGTTTAGGTCCAATAAGACGTGAAAAAAAACTTAGTTTAATACTCATGGGACATGATGTCTGACAGCCAGCTCTCTTGTGTTTGTGCTTCAGATTTGTATGCTCAGAAAAAAACATACATCAGAAGTTTAGACTGATATGACTTTAAAATGCATGCAGATAATAAACTTTCATGATAAGAAATGCAGTGCCAAGTGACCATGATAGATAATCAAAACAAAACAGATGTTTTAGTTTTTGGGAGAATATCAGAGGCACAAGCTGTAAAGGCTCTGCCATTTTCTGGAAAGCGGGGTGGGGAGCAGCAGCTCATTTGCATTTAAAGATACATGCACAAAACAGCATGCTTGTCCTTCCACTCAAAAACGCCCATTTACAACAAGGTATAATAAATGATCTGTAGGATACATTTCAGGCACATTCTGGGGACACCTGAGACTTATATTATCTTGTAAAAGTGGCCCAATATACACTTTATCCCATTTCTCTATTTTTTTTTTATTATTGTTTTTTTTTATAAATGTTTTATCATTCCTGTGACTGTTTTTCTGTTGACTTTTCTGTCCATTTTGTACCCCATTATAAAGAGACCGCGGGGTGGGTGGGTGGGAGGAATTAGTAGATAGGTTGTTGTTTGTTGTGTTTCTTTTTGGCATGTTTATTGTCAAAATTTAAAATCTAATAAAAAAAAGTGGCCCAAAATGTACCCTTTAAGCAATATTTAAATCACATAAATATTTTAGAGCAGAGCATAACTAAATAAATGGATATTTTCTACATAAACTTCATAATACATACAACCTGATTTTCCTGAAAGAAATATAGACCTGAAAGAAATATAGAAAAAAAGTAGGTCTAGCAAGTCTTATATTTCTGTAATTCACACAGATCAAATACAAATATGCTGGCAGAATAGATTGCTAGTTGAGAAACACTGCTTTGATTAATGTTTTTAATGATGACTATGTGAAAGGTTAACTAAACAGCATGAACCGGTTTAAACATGAGGTGGTTTAAACGTGGCTAATTAATCATTCAGAGAGCTTGACATTTTATTTTTTAATGTAAAAAATGACCGAGGTCCAGACCTCATAGCTTGCTATGGCCATGCGCAGTACAACAGTAACGTGTCATTCATTCTCCATTTATTCATCTTCTCATATCAAATCAAATCACGTACAGATGAACGTGTTCTCGCCACCTACTGGTGAACGTGTAAGCACGATTACACGATTGACATTTAGTGCATCAAATCGCACAACAACTATCTGGCATGTCGTTTACACCTCAAAACACCAACTTTTGTATATTGAAACTGACAACGTCCTGGCAAGATCCTTGATTAGTTTACTGGGTTTCGTTGCCAGAGAACGACGTTCTTGCCCGCCAGCCGGTATTTTTGACATCATGTGCAAAGTATGAATTGGAGCTGCTGTGTTCTCAGAACTGATTCACAGTACATACAGAACATGGAAGAGAGCCATGTGTAAGGAACTGTTAGATTGTAACATGCTATTGAGAGCTGAAGTTTAAACATGAGAGAAGGTGCTCACATTGACAGTGCCTCTAAGGCCATGTGAGGACCCTGTGGGAAGGTAGAGCTGACTGATTTGTTAGTCCAGAGACCCAATCTTACCATCACACACACCTCACATTTCACACCCCACCGAGAAAGAGGTTGACAGAGTCAAAACAAGCCAACACCTACAAGTGAGACCCCCTGATGAGACTGACAGGCCAGCTTTAATCATATTACTCATGCTTATGCTTAAAAACATGTGTATCATAACACAGCATTGGTATTATGTGGTGGTAACTGACACCACAGAGGCATGCCAGCAGGGGCAGAACAGAGATGTGATTCTTGGCAGGGAGAGAACAAGAGCTGGGGTTAAAATGACAGTATTCACGTGTGTTGTGTGATACTCACGCGGTCAAAGCTTCCCATACTGCCCAGACGCATTCGCATACGGCTGGCTCCCTAGGGAAGAAATTAGGCAACTTGAATGTCAGAATTTACATATACACAGACTTTATGAATAATGTATAAAAATAAAAATTCTGTTATCCATTAATCAACATGTCATTCATCATTCACAAACCTATATGATTTCAGTCTTTCATAGAACACAAAACGATGTTTTATTAACAAAGTTCAGGAGGAACACATTCAGTTAACTAACACGAGTGGAGTATACTCAGCAATCAATGATAAGAGGTGTATACATAGATTCAGCAATGTCACTCCATTGATAGTTTAGCAGCATCCCTCCACCACCCCTTCTCCACACTTCCAGTCCTAAACACTTACATAGGAGGAGTACTCTGGGTACGGACCAAGCTCGGAGCCCTTCCCCCGGACAGCACGCCAAATACCCATTAAACCTTATCCACTCTAACTCATTAAAGAAGATTTGTGTAGTTTGAAGTATTTTAATGCTGCTTTTTTCCATGTAACAAAAGCTGATAGTGACTATCCAAAAAAAAAAATTGAGCTTGATTTGAGCTTCAAGAAAGAAAGAAATTCATACAGGTCTGGATGGAACAACATGAGGGTGATTAAACGACAGAAGTCATTTTTTTAGTGAACTGTCCCTTTAACTGAACACAGACGCCTAATGGAGAATTCCGGCTTAGCTGGTCTTTATCCTTAAGCAATGATATTGTGAGTAAATACAGCAGCTGGTTGAAATATTATAGTACTGTACACACAAACAAAGGTATTATTCATAGTAGAAGGGTGGGTAAATGGGTCAATCCCCATTCATAGACCATTAAGACACAGACGAAAAACACACACACACACACACACACACACACATACCCGTGATAAGATGTTCTCCAGGGAGCTCGTCAAAGAACTCCGGGCTTTGTTCTTCAACAAGTCTAGTTTATTGCGGCCCGCAGTGGAGTTATCAGAGGTCAGAGTGCTGCCAGAAGCATTCTGCTGTGACACAAAGGAATAAAACTGAGTGAATTAGTGAGAATGAATGCCCTGTAAGATTAAATAGTTTTCTGAGGAATGCATGTTCTGCACTTGGTGACATTTTACTTAATAGATGTTAAAATGATGGAAGCAAGACCAGGGATAAATCGGCACTTGTCGAAACCAAACCACAAAGACTGGGAGTAAATGGCTCCAGCTAGCATTTTGCACCCAATAAGTGACAAAATAATGCCAACATTTTCCTATTTATATGTTGTGATTTGTAAAGTCACAGTGTGTACAAATAACAAGGTCATATGAGACACAGCCATCTTTTAACTGTGTACAGGGGTTAAAGTAAATAAATTCCTGAGCCTGACCTTTTTTTTTGGTGTGTGGGGGCAGACTGACTTATCTTGAATGGCACCTTTTATTACAGCTGTATCTTATTGCCATCTTTTTATGAATGTAAGCCATTATCACTTATATTATAGCTACTGATGTCTCGATGAAAATGATTTTTCCCAAATTTTAAATATTAGGCTTTAAAAAAAATAAAAACCTTTAATTTAAGTGAACTTAAAACAATCCTCACTTAAACCCATAATAAATTACATTTAGCCTATACCATACAGAAATTTAATAAGTTTATAAAACAGTCCTCACTGAATTAATTATAAATGAAATATAGATTAATCCTTATCAAAGCTACAAGCGTTCTTTAGTCAAGAGCAGTTAGTAATTGTCTCCGTTCCCTCTGTTCTTTAGGTTTACTTTACTGACGGACAGAATTAATCGCTCCTGTCACTTTAAGATCTGCCGCTGCTGACAGCATCTCATTCTCTCACTACTATTTACTTCCATTTAAGATTTTATTCAACTAATTTAAGACTGTTTTTGGGAGGATACTCGAAAAAAAAACTGAAATTTTGGCATAAATGTGTGTGTTATTGTTCGTTCAAGCGCGAAAGAGAACTCCATAATGGCGTGTGTCTTTCTGTGCGTTGTGTGTGTGTGCGTCAGGAGGACATAGGGAAAATGTAAATAGGAAAATGTTGGCGTTATTTTGTCACTTATTGGGAGCGGTATGCTAGCTGGAGCCATTTACTTCCAGTCTTTGTGCTAGGCTAGGCTAGCGGTGTGTGTATCAGAGTTACAGCATGCAAGGAGATGAAAAGTGTATGTACGGACTTTTCTAACTCTGGTGGATACAGTCCCAAAAGTCAGTGTGTTCCTTTAAAGCACAGATTGAGCACATTGGAAGCCTTGCCAACCATTGCTTTCACTGTACAGTTGAAAGGGTAGGCAGATAGGTTTGTTGTTTCCATGTTACCTTATAAAAATTGTCTGTATACATACACAAATTATATATATATATATATATATATATATATATATATATATATATATATATATATAAGTAAACAGGGATCTATTTGATTATATTTCAATTTTAAAAGCTAGATGAGAGAAATGTTAACAGAGGTGAACTACTCTGAAAACATACAGTCTTGTTTAGACTTCATGTGACAAGCACATGTTTAGAAAGGCACCTGCATTCATTCAGGTGCTCTGTTCTAATCTCTATTCTGATGACTCTTACAACCTGTCTTATCCTATTAAAGGGAGGTCACAGTTTCATGACTTTGCAAGGTGGCGTGAGTGGGCGAAGTTAGTGGTGCATTTTTGTTGCTTTTGTATTTTTGCTACCTGTGAGACTTCTCCAATATGAACATGAGATTTCTGCTTGGTCTCACACAACTGTCGGAGGTGAAGAATCACAAGCTCGTTTTCTTCTTGATCAGATGCTGGCTTCATTTTCTAATGCATGAGAAAACAAACTAAATATACAATAGATAATTGGAATTATAGGATATTTAGTTAAAGGACTAGTTCAGTATTTTACACTTAAAGCCCAGTTTTAAGATCGTTTCTGATGAAATAGAACAGTTAAGAATGAAATTTGGACACATACTGCTGGCCCGAGAATTTTCGGTTTGAATCAAAAACCGAAATACACCTTTAAAAGAATATTCTTGGTCAAACTTACTGTAAGCTCTACTCATGGTATCAATTTTGTCAAATACTTTGAAAATATATATATATTTTGACTACACAAATAAAAATAAATTATACAGTAATAGACATACAATGAAAGTCTTTTTTTTTTTTTTTTTTTTTTTTTTTTAAAGACATTTTGATTTGTGAAGTCCTCAATTGTCATTTGAGGACTTCACAAATCAGAAACCGAAAATTCTCGGGCCAGCAGCATGTGTCCAAATTTTAATCTAAACCGTTTTATTTTATCAGAAACGATCTTAAAACAGGCCTTTAAGTGTAAAATACCGAACTTGTCCTCTAATTTGTTTGCGAAATTTCTCCTGGTTTGCCTACCTGCACCCGTTCAAATATGTTCACCTGCTCGTTGTCGCTCAGTTGTGAAAGGTACTTCTGAATGGCTAGTTTCGCCCTGGGAGGATACAAGCCTGGGACATTGAGAGAGACACACACTGGAATATTGTGCTAAAACTGAGACGAGTACATTGAGTGAGTTTATGGAAGCCGGTGGCTTTACCTTCAATTCTCTCACAGAGCTTGTGCAAGTCGTGCATTGGACAAGCCTCGCACAGTTTGATTTGGTTCTTGGAGCTCTGCATAGCTGCTGCTGTGGTAAAGGCTTGTTTTAGGGTGAGCATTACTTCATCCACCTAAGAAAAGCATTTGTAGACAAAATTAAAGTTAAAAAAAAATAAAAAATCACCTTTAAAAAATATTCTTGGTCAAACTTACTGTAAGATCTACTCATGGTATCAATGTTGTCAAATACTTTTAAAAAATATATATTTTGAATTATACATTAATAGAATTACAATGAAAGTCTTATTTAAAAAAAAAAGTCCTCAATTGTCATTTTGAAATTAGACAACCTTTCCACACAAATTAACATCTGGTTATCAATTTATGATGCATATCATGTGCTTGTCATGGCCATGAAATGAGTTGAAAGATTATATTACTGTATAACTTTTGCTCAGATAAAATTTGCAAGCGGTAGCATATTCTGCTTAAGAATTATGTTTATACTGTACTTTTGGCAAAACAGTTTTACATTTTAAACATTCATAGTATTTATAGTGCTGTACATTTGATTTTTTTTTTAAAAATCAAGGTAGTCCACATTATTTTTTTTTGAGGTAATCGACAGCAAAGCATCCATATAGACCAGAAACAAGGAAAACCTTCATGTTTGCATATCAGCTGTACAATGAGACCTTATCTGTACATCGTGTGCAAAAACACAGGTCTAATCCTATTCATCCTCTGGGTGGCAGTCAGTTGGCACAGAAATCAGCGTACTAAAGGTAATGTCCACAAGATAGGTAAGTGAGAGTCATTGTTTCCATTGTACCTTAGGATGAATAATTAATCAGTGTGGTGACAACATGTGCTGCAAACAGGTCAGGACTCACCAGAGACTCACTAGCGCACTGGAACACGTAACACACATACTGGGCTGGGCCAGACACCTCCACATCCCGACAAATAAAGCCAAAGTGATCTGTCTGTTTAACACCCTGCAGGCACAAGAAATTACATCCATAAAAGACTAACAGACAGACAGGGCTGCAAGTCACAGTGACACACAACATGTAAAAAATCACTTCATAAGACAAATTATCCTACCTCTGAATTCTGATTGGAAGAAAGTGTGATTATACATCAACTGAATTGCATATTAACACACCACCTTGTAGGTATTATTATTGGTAATACATATCATTTTTATTTAATGAACATTAGTATATTATTAGTATATAATATTTCTGTTGCTGTCATTTTATGAAACCAATAAGCGCTTAATCAATGTTTTGGGGGATTTTAGTATGAATATGTTAGCCATACTGTTATCTATAAGCTAGTGTTCTCCAAAACACTGCCAAAATTGGCATTTAGAAGATATAAGCCTTTAAAAGTTACAGTCTCTCACTTTCACCAATATGGATCAATGATTTTGATGACATCATGCTGCATTGCAGCTTCTCATCAAAATTTATATCCAATCAAATGCTTATAAATGCTCATTAACATTATAAACAGATGCTAAAGCTGGGCTAAAATCAGTCACTTGTTCACACATTTACTATTTTCTACATGATTAATGGCTTTACTGAGCTGTGAGTGATATAAACAAAATGCTATTGGCTATTATTAAAAAGGGGAGGAGCTGCTCAATATGTCCTGTCCTGTCTTAATGTTTAAGTGTAAATTACGTCAACACATTTAATAATGCTATGTCCTTTAAGGATTAGCATTACAAAAATACTGTAAATAAAATCGCTCAACTCATGACCTTGTTCTTGATTGACCTATTGCCTTAATATTCAAATCACTGTCCTGTTATACACATGCAAAACATGCACTTTTATCGTAAGACATAGACAACGGTAAGAATTATGGCAGTTTGAAAGGTCTTTTTATGAGAACATCAATTTGTATGACAAAGAAAAATATAAATATTCTAAATTAGTACAAAATCTTATGTCAGTTACTTGGAACTTGTTTTGAACAGCACTGTGTGACAACATATGGTGACATTAAATATGAGACGTACAAAGAGCTTATCTCTAAAACCAAACAATCCTAATCCTTTCACACACAGACCTGGGAACAGGATGAGATGTCCTTAAAATTCTTCTCCAGAACCACAGTTTTGGTTTCAGGGCTGATGAGATTCACTTCAAACCGTCCAACCTGCACATAGAAAAGCAATTTGATAGCATATTTTGTTTATTGAGAAGCAGTAGGAATAAAAACGCAAATATTAAGCTAAATGTCTGATAAATGATAACTCTCATGGCAGTGTTTTCTGAGAGCTGTATTTGCATTTAAAAAAAAAAAATCTTACTTAACAACCAAGGTCATAGTTTGCAAGTGTTTTCTTAACCAAATGACCATAAAGACACCTCCCCCTAAAAACTGTTTAAAGGGAAATGTGTGACTACATGACCCATCATGCATGCTAATTAGCAGAATTTTGACTTCTAAAAAGAAGACATTTACATGCGTAGGCCTGTTTTTAAAGTTAAAGGGATAGCTCAACCAAAAAAAATTTTTTTTTTTTTTTTGTTCATAAAATTAAAGTCAGTTGTTTAGATCTCCATCAACACTCTATTCACACAATGGAAATAGAATCACCATAGTTGTTGTGTGGACTTCCCACTTCTCATAGAATCAGAACAATTATTAATACAGTATAGTTACCATCCTTTGTCTTAATAGGCCTTTGGCCTCTAACTCAATCACTGGTGAGTGAAATCTAACATTATACATATATTATTTATTCACCTAGCGTGAAATTGAGTAGCATATGGGATCGATTTACTCGCAATGTATAGGGTTTGCCCATTAACTTTCATTGTATGGACAAAAACAGTTGAAAGACTCAATATCTTTTTTGTTTCAACATGAGGGAATTTCAGTTTTGAAATCATCTGTAAAGGTACATGAAATCACAGACTAAAAGTTTGTGTAATACCTGGAACAGCATTGTACGATTCTTGTCAGCATCAGTAGGCTGCACGTTATTGGGCGCGCTAGCATGTCTCCTACGCGTTGACCCCTTGCCAGTCTCTCTGGGCTTTTTCTGCAGGCCACCCGCGAGGCTATTACAGCGCGTACGAATCTCCTGCTGCTCCCCAAATCCCGAGTCCTCCAAAATGCACTCAGGAAAGGCCCCTCGCAAGCTGCCTGTACTGGAAGAGTTGGTCAAGGCCAGTTTCCCATTTGCCAACTCAGACAGGTCTTCCTCAATCGAGCCATGTTCTGCCTCGGGTTCGTCAACTTCGCAGAGGGAGGAGCTAAGAGGGTCGTCACCCATGATGAACTCTACGGGGGCTTCGGTGGAGCTACGCTGGCCACTGAGGAGCCGCAGACGCTTGCGTTCAATCTCGTGTTGGCGGAATTTATCAATGCAGTCGTCAATTAAAGTTGAAGGCGCTTTCTTGTAGTTGACAGTCACTTTTCCACAGTAAAGTACTTCAAACTTCTGGGAGTTGTAGAAAGACTCATCACTATCTTGCTTGGGCTTGCTTTCCTCCTTAAGTGCAGCCTTGGACACCTGTCTAATGCTGCTAATAACCTCAGGCACCTGGGGAACAGGGTAAGACATTAGATCAACCATACCAAGGACAAAATGTCTATAAAAAGGTTCAGTGGTCATGTTAAATTTTTGGAGTGAGACAAGTAGGTTGCATAACTAACTAGGTTCAGCCCCTAAGGAGCAATTTAGGAGTCAGTAATACAAAAGCCAAGGCAGACTTTTCCCTGGTAACTGATACTACTATTGATCATTTAGAATGAAACCTGGAGCTAAGAAAACAGATCTCTGTTTTTCTAAGCCTGAACATCAGTAGGAATCTTTTGAAACTAGATGCAAGGGTATAGGTTTAATTGTAACATGGGTTGAGACATTTTTTATCAGCAACACTATACATATCCACACAAATACTTTATCTTTATTTTATCTTGTATTAAAAATGTTCTTTCCCAGGATCTAACACTCTGGTTTCAAACAACTGAGATACTGTAATGTATATTAATTATGAGAAAAAGAAAAATATATATATTTTGTTGTCCCAAACAATCCTGAGGGGGGAAAAAAAGAAAGAAAAAAAGTGTTTAAAACATTCTTAAGAATGTTTTGTGAATCCAACTGAATTTAGCTGAAACACAATTTTTGGAAACCTTGAGATTTTAATAGGCTGATTTTAGGCTCCTCGCAGAAAAGCACGGGACAATAAAGAAACTGTGATTTATACGGGCTTGGGTTTTGAACAGCAGCATTTACATAATTCCCATAAAACTCATGCAGTCACAAGCCATGCAAAATGTTGCCCTTGTAACGCCTAATTTCACTTATTACAGGAAACAAAGTACTTAATTTTGTAAATGAAAACATGACATTTATAAACATTTATATTTATATTCCCTAGCTTTATTACATTTAGTCACAGCTGAGATCGAAAGAAACTTTGGTAAACGGTCATCATGGCTCAAGTCCCCACTGTCCATAATCAAATCTGTATTCAAGCTTTTGGTTGTAAAACTGGTATATTAACTGGTGGCAAATGTCAGATATATCTCAAAGTATATTATGCCATGTTCTCTTGTGCCTTTGCTTGGCTTAGAAATGTTCTAGATTGGCTCTCAGGTTCAAGTGTATAAAAGGTTATGGCAACGTTAAATAAAACTGATTTACATCAGCAAGACACATCTTGCTTGAGAGAATACAATAAGGAGTCTGGTGACAGAATTGGGTCTGATGCCAGGAACACTCAGAGGTGAAAAGAAATGAAGCTCCACAGACTTTAAACACAAACTAAGCCAGCTCAAACTAGACTGGAAGAGCATGTTTGACTGGCCTGATCTGGATGACTACCATAAGCCTGGTGATGGTATAAGATTGTATCTGAGCTGGCTTCACATAAACAATAGATCCCTGAAGTTGCATTCAGGGAAAACAAACAGAGTAGAGAGAATTAAGTTCTAACAAGAAACGGTTTCAGGCATGGTTTAAACGAAGGTTGGAGTTTCCTTAGACACAACAAGCTCTGAGACACTTTAGCATGTTGCACAGTCAGTGCATATAGAGTGCTAAGCACTAATGTGAACAAGAATCCTGTCGATATAAACATCTTCCAGGAACTAAAGCCCTGTAATGGATACAGAGTACTTGCTGCATAAAAATACAGTCACATGGATTACTTGTTCAAGTAATGTAGAGCAAGTCAAACATAACTGCAGGCTGTGCACACTGTTCTCTTGTAAAGCTAACCCATGAAAACTTTCACATTAGAGGCTTGACTTGTTGATTTACCATGTCACTGGGATAACTACACCCATGATATGAATCATCGTTTCATGTGCAATCAGGTACAACAAACACCTAACATGCCACATTAAATTTCAGCTCATAACTCAATATAATATGGCTTTTAGAGAATTGGTGTGCTATTACTTGAAGCAATCAGCCTTATCATTTTTTTCCGGGTGTGCAAAAACCATTGAAGGAGAGACTTGAGTTATATATAGAACCAGAATATCACAGAGACTTGAGGCTGGGAACGTAACTATCCAGAAAACCGTATAAACCACATTAAAAATCCACTCAAAATGCTTTGGCAACCGCATAGCAACAACCAGGAAACCACCCAGAATAGCCTAACAATTTAGCAGTAAATTCTACATGGGTACATTTTCTTTACATTGCAATTGGTTTTATGCAATTAATGCAGGCACTTCACGAGTGAGTCAGGAGTAAAAAATATAGACAATTGAGACCTCTGTGGTCCACTACACGTCTGTCAGTAAACATAGCTCAGTTTAATGCAAACATTTCATTGAAACCCTAAGGCTAACTGGTGGAAAATCATGGTGCAGCTGAGAGAAAAGGTTCCTTGAGATCAGGAGGAAAAGCAATCAATCCTTCAAGCAATCTTCTGCTGCAATGGGCTGCCTGTGGCAAGCAGCAAAAAGGGTGTGGCTGCTTGTTTTTAACTGACAAATGGCATATTTCCTAGGAACACTCACAGATTTCCAAAAAGAATCCTAGTAACTACCTAAAGTAGCCTAAATAATCTGCAAAAAAGCAGATTTTTACATCTGCTAGTGAAAAGGCAATGCACACTAGTGCTGTTTTGAGGTCACATACCCAAGAAAAGGCAGAATAAAAACATTCACCCACAGTAAACTTCTATGACCTCACCAAGCATCAGTGACAGAGTTTAAAACCCTTAAATGGCCTGAATTATTCAATTGCAAGATGATGCTAGACCCCCTTTAGTCGTCTAATAAATTATTTGCACTGAAACAAACATGTAAGGATGAAAGTAAGATGGTATGAATTACAAAAGCTGTATAAAAAAAAGAAATCATTTCTGTTGAAAATGATGACAATGTGAATGAATGTTGTTGGACTCTTTCTGGTTGTGAAACAAACAATATCATAGTTAATGTGATGCACTATACATGTGCTTACTCACTAGCAAGAGTAACCACGTGTATAGTGCATCACATTAACTATGATATTGTTTGTTTCACAACCAGAAAGAGTCCAACAACATTCATTCACATTGTCATCATTTTCAAAAGAATATCTATTCTTTTATCATTAAAAAAAACAATGCTTTGTGAAGCATTTTGATTTTCATAAATAACTGCCACTATAAATAAGTGGTTTTGTTTTCTGTAACCAAATGCAATGACATTCATACATTTTTAGGTGCTTTACATATGTGACACAGAGGCTTGATACCAGATGAGGAATATCAACCTCTTTGTTTTGTGCATCAAAGCTGTGGTATGAAATATAGTTTAAACAAAGAAACTGTGATGAGAAATTCATGCTTTTCATAAGAATTGACAAAATATAAAGACTGATTATTGCACATGACCTCCAAAATCTCTCTCAAGATTTAAAGAATGTGCAAAATTTGATCAATGTGCTGCCATGACCTCATGTTTAAAAATGCTTTAGGAATGCCGTTTCAAACTAAGATATAAAATGCAAACAGCAGACTTCTCAGTAAATTACGCCAGTCAACCCACATAAAAACTAACAGTGAAAACAGAGAAAGGAGCACTGAAAGATAATGAATCTGAAGATTCTTTAAAAGTCTGTATTTAATTTCAGTATTTAGTTCAAATCTAAAGTACACAAATTAACCTTGACAGACCTAAACATATACTGCACAAAATCCTTTTATTTCTCTAAAAAAAAATTGCTAACCCCCAGCACCAAGTCTGAAAATTCCTTACTTAAAATCCACATAAAAATATTGATTATTCATAGGTATAACTTTGCTTTCTCTACAGTACCAAAAAAACAATGCACTAGGACGCAGATTGGCATGACATCAATCGATAGGCCAATTACAAGGTATTCAGAGGAACTGGGTAAAACAGGACACAGTCCATATTCCAAAACTCTAACTTGGAGGTCTAAGTGGGTTATTATATCCTGTGCGACATTGCTTTTGCTTCATATTTTGATAACCGCTCCAAACCGCAAAACAAATAGCCTAGTCTTTAAAAAAATGCATCAGAAGGACCCCAGGCATTTTTTCTTGCCCACAGCATAAACAAACGTAATCACAGATAAAGCTTTCCTTTCATTTCTATCAGTATAATGAGGCCAAGCATCTGTGCACATAGTATATCATTATGAAAAGAATCATAACCTTACTTTGTTGCCCTTACTGGGTGGGCTATTCTATGTTGAAGGTGGAGTTATAAATAAGGGACCAGCGGGTTCCCCCACAGCCTTAATGTCATTCCACAGGCAACTAGGAAAGGATTGATCAGGCTGCATTTAGACTGAGATATATTTATATGCCTTAATGCCAGTCTCAGAAAACTGGCGGGACTAGTGCATGGTAGCACTTCAAAATGAGCCAGCAGCCATCTTAAGATGTGAGCAAAGACACATTCCTCCTGGAGTATCTAGCACGTGTTGATATCCAGCTACGTGTTGCTATTTTATTGCATAACACATGACGGTGATGTATGCATGTTGCCTCTGGAGCTCAACATGCACACACAAGAGGACCGACACCAGGAAGAGAAACTTTCCCTTCCTCACATTCACTTCTCTAGTACTTTTACCTTTGAGAATATATACAACAATAATATAAATAGCACACATAATGTGGCACATGCAAATAAAAATGATTTATTTTCAAATGAAATCCACAGAGACACAACGAGACATGCTATAGCAAATCACTGAATAATGTTTCACCAAAAACAAAAAAGCACATTGAACAGGCTTCTCAAATATAGCTCAGCAGCAGAATAACATTAGGGTTACATTACAACTAATTACAGATCAATATGATGGAACAGAGTACTCAGATACAACTGCAGTGCATCATGGTTTTTATTGTTGTTTCAAGGCATCATGACAGAGCGCAGAGGAGCGGGTGGGGGGTATTTCAATATTCTGTGTGTGTATTTTCTAGCTGATCTGATTAATCCTTTCTACTTGTGTGCCAGGAGAGATCTGACCCACCTTTACACGATGCTCTGTAAATCTAATTCCTCTGGTGCAACGGTGACCTAAATACTGGCATTTATCCAACTGACAAAGACCGGTCAATCATACAGGAGACTAAACATCAGGGTGCATTATCCCTGGTATTGTAAAAGTTTAGCATGATTCATTATTTCTGTTGAAAAGGTCAGGTGGACACAGAAAGTAAGGTTGTTATATAACAACCTTCCTTTGTCTATCTTTATTTTGTGTGTGTGTGTGTGTGTGTGTGTGTGTGTGTGTGTGTGTGTGTGTGTGTATATATATATATATTAGGGCTGTGCAAAAGTTAATTGTGATTAATCGCATCCAAAATAAAAGTCTGTGTTTACATAGTATATTTGTGTGTGCTGTATATAATTATTTTGTATATATAAATACACACACATGCATGTATATGTTTAAGAAAATGTGTTATTCCTATATAAAATATTTATATGTATATAATATAGATTATGTATTTATATATATATACAGAATTTAAGCGCAAATAATTCTTAAATATATACATGCATGCATAGGTATTTATATATACAAAATAATTATATACAGCACACTCAAATATATTATGTAAAACAGACTTTTATTTTGTATGCGATTAATCGCAATTAACTTTTGCACAGCCCTAATATATATAAAATATACACACACACACACACACACACAAACTAGAATACATTTGGTAAAGAGGCAGTCCCAACCAACAGTGGAAAAAAAAAACTTCAAATAAATTAATGTGAGAAATTCACACAAGTGAATTACGAGATTTTACATAGATAGATAGATATTTAAGAATATATAACCATTTAAATAAAAAAGCTGTTAGGCTAATATCAGTAAAATAAATAAAGTAAAAATTATGGTCAAATCATGTCATTTATTCATATAGGGCCTGCTAAAAAAAGAACCGATAACCAGTCCTCTAATCATAATTTACAAAATTATGTAATTTAACAATAGACCAGATATTTAATAGTATAGTACATCATTTAAGTTGAAAAGGTGTTACTATTGGTAAAATATTTATAAATAAATAAAAATGATGCTCAAAAAAACGATGCCATTTATTCATAAAAAGAACCGATAACCAGTCTAACCTCTAATCCAATCCCCTGACAGGGTTAATTGAATAAATGTTTTTTTAAAAAAAACAAAGTAAAACAATAGTAAAAAGTTTAACAATAGGTCTGATATATTTATAAACATAACTATTTAAGTTGAAAATGTGTTAATGTCTGTAAAATAAATAAATAAAAATTATGATAAAATATAGTCATTTATTCATATAGCCTACCAAAAAGAACAGACAACCATATACCTCCAATCCAATCCACTGAAAGAGTTATCTTAATATCTGTATATTTTAACCAAAATTAGGTCTTTTAACCATAGCCCCGATATTTAAAAATATATAACCAAGTTAATATTGGAATAGGCGAAATAAATAAATTAGTGGTCAAATTATGCCATTTATTCATAAAGAACCGATAACCGGTCGACCTCTAATCCGAACCCCTTAAAGTGTTGATTCATAAACTATAAGCAATCTGTGCCCTTGGGCAACACATTAACCAAACAAAACGCTTACCAGCTAAATCAGTGGCCAAACATACCTGATTTGGATCGCATGCTTTGAACACATGGCATGCCATCTCAGACTCTGGGTTCTCTGGTTGACTTCTGATAAGGTAGGCAAAATAAGACAAGTCATGGCTATTGTGGATAAACCTGGATATAAACTGTGCTTTGTGTTCGAATATGAACACGGACGGGTTGCTGCTGTTTGAGGGGACGCAGCGGATCAGAGAGGGCGAGAGAGTCAGCTGGACTTCTCTGGCCTGTGCGGGTCCGGGCTCGTTCTTCTCACTTTTCCTCCGGATCTCCGCCACCAGCCACGGGAGCATGGGCAGCGTGGTTCGGCTGTCCAGAGACGACCAGCCCATGTAACACAGCGCAAACCTCTTGTCTGCCTTTTGATTACCGTCATTATTATTATTATTCCCTTTGCCATCCTGTCCCTCCATCTCTCCAAGGGCCCCGGGACAAAGACTTAGTTGCTTTGTGCAACAACTCTATGCCGTTATACCACTAAATGCCTAAATGAATACAGGCATCGGTCAGTAGGCTATGTGAAAGCAACTGGAAACATCTCCTCGCACGTTAATGGTAGCCTATAATGATCATCACGCTTTAAGCAAAAGTGCGTGAGGATCGTGTGTCCTGAAGAGCTCACGCTACAATAATACTTGCAGCTATAATAATACTTGCTTTTAAGGTGCACCGAGGCTTTTATTCCAAGGTCATATCACTGTTTAAAAATAAAAAAAACTTCCACTCGAAGCTAAACATCCATATATAAAGTTAAACGATTTGCCCCAGAGTGTCAATACACAACTGCGCGTCTTATTCCTGCAGATTTCTTGAGTCCCGACGCCTCGGATTGTGGTCTTCGCCGCGGACAAACGTCATGTGTCAAGTTGCAGATCAGCTGGAGTCCTTTAAAGTCGCTGCACATCACTTTTTTATGGGTTATTATTGTGTCATTTAACGGCGTTGGAGAACAGAGAGTGCTGTTGTTCCAGGAGGAGTGGCCGCAGCAGCCACATGAGAGGCGTTCACTTGAACGCCCGCGCGCGCGCGCGCGTGTGTGTGTGGATCTCTGGCTCCCCTGCGTCTTCAGGAAACACATGGCACTGGCTGAGAAAAGCAAGTGAACTATGGGATATCGAAATAGTTCGATTCTTGAGCTAGTTGCCAAACTTATTACTCCATCTGAATATTTTATATTATGCCCCAATTGTGAATATTGATATTTTGTCATAATGACAGTTCAACATTTTGTTTATAATGTCAGTGTGTTTTTATTGTGTAGCTAAGCTACACTTGTTTATCAAACACTAAAATGTTCATATTAAAATTTTAATATTGAGAACACAATTCACAAAAAAAAACTTTTTTACTTTTCGGACTACTTTTCAAATTGTATTTAATAAACCAACATCTCAGGAAAACGTTATGAAGTTTTAAATCAAATCATGCCTTTTCGTTACAGAAAATTGATTTCATACAGGACTTAAGTCATGTTTATCAGGGATAAGTGTGTGAATAGGGAAAGGTAGGCCTATTATAAATCAATATTCCTATGAAATAGATATTACCAATTATTACTCCCATTATTGCACTTCTTTTTACATTACATGTCCTTACATTATTTTGAATGGGACTACACATGTATGGCCATTATACCCACATATTGCATAAAGTAAAATGGTGTATCAATTCATTCCATTATATCTTTCATAGTTGAGAATCATCTTTGTACAAATATTGGTTAAAAAAAAATCCTGAAACCCAAGAGTTTAAAGTTAATGAAAAATCCCATTGTTTTTGCCAATACATGTAATTTTATTTTTTCAAACAACTGATTTCTGCATGGTGTCCACTAAATAGGACATATCATAACATGTGAACAAAATATACATTTTCAAATATATTTTATTAATATTACTACCATTTGTTTCTTATGCTCTAAACAATGTTATGACAAAAAAAAAAAATCCTAAATTCAAAAAACCTTTTCTGAGCCAATGAACACTAAAAGTTGATTCAAGAGATTTTACTGTGGATAAAGCATTCTTCACATTTCTAGTAAATACAGGGTGAGGCTCAGGGTGTGTTTAAGGTGAGCATACTTGTAAAATTCTGTGTGAATTAATGGTATCCTATGCAAGGGAAGTTACATTCGAGCAATTAATAGCAGTATTAAATAAAGTTTTTTTTTTTTTTTGCCAGTATAGTGAATTGGATACAAATTACATTACAAGTAGGCTACTGAAAGGTTTGAAACATGAAACTGTACTTTAGTACAAAAATGATTCAATATACTCAAGAGCGCCCTCTGCTGTCTTTAGAAGCTATCACGTTTTTTAATGATAAAGGTTACTGTGGTCATATTTTGGAATCAAATACTAACATACATACTGCTACATACTATGTATTATACAGAGTAAACTGTCAACCCTTCATTTCAGACAGTGGCTGAATTTGAAATAGTATGTTTCCATACTTTTCTTATAATTTCTGCCATTTCTTTAGTACACCAAATATGAATAGCAGAATATTGTAGAAATCGTAAAAGTAGTATACCAGTATGCAATTCAGAAGTATACAATCTGGATGCTGCTATCATCCACTCTTAGTTTTAAAAAAAAGAGGCCAAGACAAGTGGTGAAAGTATTTTCTTCCCTATTGTGATGTATTTCCTAGTGAAAAAGCTTATTGATTTTGTCCACCGGGAATTGATTGGATCATTTTTGTGAGGTACAGGTAGGTTGTGTTTCCTTTGCGTCAGTAAATTGCTTGACTAACACAGTAAGATATGATGAAATATCGAATTCAGTTCAGGACCTGCATAATCATTTTCATTTATGTTTCATAAAAGTATTAGCTGGTGAATAAAATAAATTGAAAACACATTTTTAAAAAGTTCTCTCATGTTACTATTGCTGTCATCGAGTGCTGACCAAGTGCCCAGCTTAAAACAAGATGCCATACAAATAGTAAATAGCATGAATATGAGAGACCATCAGAGACCAACTGCAGCCCATCATCACATTTAGCCTGTAATTTAGTCTGCAAAAGTTGCCATATTTAGGCACAGGTTCCAGGCCTTCAGAGAGTATTCACACCCCTTAAATTATTTCTCTCTCTGCTGTGTTGCAAGGTCACATTCAATCAAATTTAATCTGGAATCTTTCAGCCAAGACAAAACAGCAGATCAGTTCCACTGTCAAGAAGACAACAAAGCTGACAAAATTAGATTTTAGGAAAAATCTATAAATAAGTTAATTAAAAAAAAGGTCATCTCAGGGTGTCAAACTCAGTTTCTGGAGGGCCACAGCCCTACAAAGTTTAGTTCCAACCCTGCTTCAACACACACACTTGCAGTTTTCAAATGATCCTGAAGGACTTGATTAGCTGATCAGGTGTGCTTAATTGGGGTTGACGCTTAATCCGTCTTAATGAATTTTTGCCTTAACCATATATCCAACACCATCCTTACTATTAAGCATTGTGATGTTAAGCATTGTAAAGAATTGCAATGTTAAGAAGATGGAATACATAAAAAAAACATAAACAAAACAAAAAACAGTGGTTCAGTGAATAATTATATTGAACAATATTAGAAGAAATTCATGTTCTTTATTTTAACATCAACTAACATGTGTTATTTATATTTGAAAGGTGAAAAACAAATATTTAATGTTCAGACAATTATGAAGATCAATATTAATGACAAATGGAAATTTATGTTGATCCATGCATGATCTAACACTATAAGACATGTGTTTGGATGTCTTTATTCAGTACTGATAGTATTAAAGGAATAAAAATTCCTTTAAGATCAAAAAAGATCAGTGCAAAATTATTGACTGTTAAATCCTTAAACGTAAACATTTAGTCAAAGACAGAATGTTTCAGAATCACTGCTGCAAAAATCACTTGCAGAAAAATATTAAACCGTCTCTAAAACGGAGGCCATTTCCTTGAACTGCTTGTGGAAGTTCTGAAGGACAAAAAAAAAATTGAAATTATGAATTGCAGAAGTTTAGACACTTCAGATGGGTTTAAATAAAATTTGGAAAATGCATAATTGCATACCTGGAACTGCTGCACTGTCATCTCAAAGGATTTATATGATACCTCCCCTGACGTGTCCGCAATTTTTATTAGAACCGAGATGAACGAAGAGTTGAGGGATCGGCAGGTATCTGAGCTCACTGCCATTCCAAGCTTCCACTGGATATCTACAAGCTAAGAGTAAAGAAGCTTTGATATCAACAACCTGAGAGAGAATACTGGCTGACCAATAGCGACACTGAAAATAAGAATCATGTGACACACCTGTCCAATCCTAGCCATTGTCAGGACCTCCTGCTGTGCATGTAGACAAGCACCATGCTCAGTCCAAAGCTGGTGCACCAACTGTAGCTTTGCTTTGGACCATTTACTGCTACATTCAGTCAATTTGCTGACCAAGACATCTGCACTGAGATTGCCCTTTGCAGCTAACCTGTTTTAGTAAATTTGTATCACTTTAATCATAAACTTTGATTATAAATTTAATCACAGGTGACACTAATCAGAAATGTATGTAATACTGTACCTAAAATAGTATGACATCAGTCTTATAATGTCTTGAACAGCTTTCTGATCCAGGTTTATCCCGGCTCTTTGAAATTTCTGAGTTAGGGAAATAAAAGCATTTCAAAGAAATAAAAAAAAGCACATGCATGCTCAATTTACAATATAATTACATACATCCCTGTCAATGTGAGCTTACATCACAGTTTTCAATCAAATCTACTGCTTTGCTCTGATCCTGAAGATGAACACGGATCACCTGGAGCTGGAAATTTAAAAGACTAGTGTCAGATCAGCAGTCTTTATTACCATTCAATGTAACATCCAGTTAAATAACTTGATGATGATATGTAAATATGAACTGTTGCAAATGTTTCAAGCAGAATTTTGTCTTCTCATTGTATGACCACACAACACTGACAAATCTTACCGTTTCTGCAAACAAGTCTGTGGGGAGCTTTTCAATTGTGTTGACCACATCATCCACACCTGCAATAAAACATGCAAAATGTCACAGATAATCAGAATCAAATAATTTATTATGCTAGCTTATATCAATTAATGGCTGTGTGCGTGTTTATACTTGTGACATTATGTTCAGTGTAAAGTAAAAATGTTACCCAATGATATGGCAGACAGAATGAGTTATATCAATATATATTTTGATACTAATTATCATATTCATATGGTTAATTTTGTCATGTTTAGTTTAATTAGAGCACAGAAAGTGAAGGAAAACAAATTGTTGCTCTTTAAATTTGCAAGATAATAGTAATACATTCTACTCACCAGTTGACAGCTCCAGTCCAAACATCTTTGTAAACAATCGGGCTATATATCATAAGGCAACTGCATTCAACAATATGTTAAACAGCCAAGATTCGTGGTATTATGTCAAAGCATAGATCAATTATTTTGGACCAGTACTGTTGTCTTTACTCTTTAGCCAAGGAGAGTTCCAGTCCGGAAGTGATGGATTCCATTGAGCATTTCTTTCAAAATAACAGTGCGACTGTTGGGTAGTAGACTGCTTATCAATGGGAAGAATATACAATTTATATTTTTTATATATTATTATTTATGTCTATATTTTTTATTCGTAAATATAAGAGTTACTTAATAATTTAACTCAGCAATATGTTCAGTTTTTTTTTTTTATGGAAGTTATTTCCTAACATAATTTTTATTCAAATTTTAATTTTAAATTATTTTATTTTACTGAACTTAGCCGATTGGAGTCTATAAAGGTATTCTGTTTTGAATACATTTCTTGTCATATGGAAACAAAATAGGACTAATGACTTCTTCTTGATTTAAATACGTAATACTTTTTAATAACTTAATAACTACTTTTGGGCTTTTATTTTGAATAATCTTCGGTCAGTACTCCCGGATGTCGCAGTCACACCATAGACTGGAGTCACACCTCTCTCGAAGTTTTGTATCGTCGCGGGTTTGTGCACAATAATGGCGGTGCAAACGGAGAGAGGAATCCCGCTCAGTGCGGTATGCATGTTTAATACACTTATTATTACTGCCTGACGGGTGTAATTAACGCATGGTAATAACAGACACCATGCAACATGTTTATAGACATATTGGAAAGTTACGTAATAAGTTAATTTCTCGCATTGTTAGTATTGTCATTGGCAGGTTGACAGTTTATATGTTATGGTATTATCTAACGTTATATGTTTGCTCTTAACAATGAACAACAACTATTTCACAGTCTGGAAAATGGTGTGGTCGTTTAATGTCATGTCCATGTATTTGTTTTGCTGTGACGTATGTGTTCGTCGTCCTATCAGAAAGGCTCCAAAATCTTTACTTTCGTACGTTACTTTCAGTTTCATTTCTCTGTCAACGGGATCTGTGCCTAATCGAGGCTGAAACTACCCGTTTATTTGTTTCACCTTAAAAAAAAGCGACGAGTGCGCTTGTTTTTAAACTTTTTACCTTGGTAGTCCATCACACTGTGTATCAGGTCCCTCAGTGTGATCAGTAACGTTAGGCTACTGACAGTAACTTAGCTAAGCTTAAAATGACTGAGAAACAGTGGCTCCCAAATGAAAAAATAAAAATAAAATAATGATACACTAAAACTTTTTCTTTTGATAATCGGGTACATTATCCTCAGATCAACTGTTATTTCTAGCCCTTAAGTTAAAAAGTTATTAGCATAACGTTTGTCAGTGAAACCTTTGAGCTGTTGGTGGCGCTACTGGGTTTGAGACAGATACTCAAAATTCGCTGTGGTTAATGCTGAGACTGTGTTCTATAAGTGTGCCAAACTTTAAGTTAAAGTTTCCCTCAAACAACATAAACACAGGAGCAATGTAGGAGTAATAGCCTTGTGGTCTAAGTTGCTTCAGGGCACCCGAGTTTGAGTCCTTTGCCTGTTCTGTTCCCCTCTCTCTTCTCATTGTTGCTTCCTGCCTCAGCTAATAAAAGGATTAAATAAAAATGTAAAAAAAGACACAAGAGTGGAAGAAAAAGATGAAGAAGAATGGGTTCATATAATTGGTGCTCACACCTTCAGTGCTTGTTGGCCCCTAATAATAAGTAACGTTAGAAATACAGATTTGTAGCATATCATCATCACTTAACAATAACAGTAAGCTCATGGTAGGCCTCTCGTGAAATACTTATAAATCATCTGTAAAAAATATAATCTATGGAAAAGATAAATAAGTTTTTACTTCCGAGTGCTGCTGTCTAGTTTTGTTTTTTCTAAAACCACTTCGAACAAGATTTTGAAAAAGAGTTTTAAATCGAGCCAAAATGGCTTAATAACCTTCAAACCTGGAAACAGATAATATGGAGAAAAATCTATTTGCAAGACTTATATTACAGAAACATCCTAACACAGAACCCTATCCTGTATGTTCAGTAATGGTATAGCCTAACTTTTTCAAATCTTAAGTATTTATTACGATAAGAAGTTTCTGTAATACAGCTCATGTGAACAGAGATCCACAATCCTAGAATACAGCATTATTAAGTAATCCATATACATACATAAATTGTGTTTTAGGGTGTTACTTATAAAGTTTCCTGTGTCTTTGACCCTTTTTTTATAGCTTAATCCAAAGTTCCTTCACACCAACTCCACCAGCCACACCTGGCCGTTCAGTGCCATTGCAGAGCTGATAGGTGAGCGGACACTTCTGATAGCGTTTATTGTGAGAATATGTATTATTAGCAGTTGAAACAACGGGTGTGTTCCCTCAAGTCTTAGATTACTATGAATTTGTAACCTAGTTTCACATCTTAAAGACATGCCTGGCTATATTACCAGTGCATTATACTATCTAGTACTGTACGTAATAAATTAAGTAAATAGTTGAATTGCATCCCATGTATTGCTAGCCATGAAGTCCTGTACTGTGTTTAACTCCTGCCAGGGTTAACTTCAAGTAAAGAATTAACAGACTTTGTAAGAATAGTTTTCAGGGCTACCTCAGTAGAGAGCTACTTAGACACTAGGATAAATATGTGTAATAATTTGATCATATTTTAAATTTATATTTTCTACTTTAGACAATGCTTATGACCCAGATGTGAGTGCCAAACAGTTTTGGATTGATAAGGCTGCAATTAAGGGTCATGACTGTCTAATTTTCATGGATAATGGAGCAGGAATGGATTACGATAAGATGCACAAAATGCTCAGGTGGGTGAGAGCACAAACCAGATTGTTGGTTTCATGATCCTAACAGTGATTCTTGCAGTGTCACATGATCTAAAAGGCTGATTTGGTCTCAAGAAACTTTTCGGTTACCCTCTATTTTTTGAGGTGTCATTGTTACAGTGTAATTATATATTTAAGTACTAAGTTATATACTGTACATTAACAACACTTACTCTAGGGTTATTGTAAAAATATTTTTTTTTCTAATATTTTTAAAATGAACTGATTCCTGTGACGGCAAAGCTGAAATGTCATCATTAGTCTGACTCTGCAGTGTCACATGATCCTTTGGAAATCTTTCTAATATGCTGATTTGATGCATTTTGTGAAACATTTTGTAGAATCTGATAATTTTTTTTCATGATTCTTTGATTAATAAAAAAAGTTCAAAGATTTTTTTGTAATATTATAAGTATCTTTACTGTCACTTTGGTGAATTTAAAGCAGCGTTGCTAAATAAAAGTATTAATTTCATAACAAAAATCGTACTGACCCCACGGTTAAACAGTAATTAATTAATTTAATTTAATTAATTTAAAAATGTAACATACAGCCTAATGTGTTGTGTTCCTCTCTCTCAGTTTTGGCTTCAGTGACAAGGAGACTATAAATGGCCATGTCCCTGTGGGCCTCTACGGCAATGGATTTAAGTCTGGTTCAATGCGCTTGGGAAAGGACGCCATTGTATTTTCCAAGAACGGAGAGTCCATGTGTGTGGGCCTGCTGTCCCAGACATACCTTCAGGAGAAACATGCAGAGAATATCATTGTACCCATTGTTTCCTTCAAACGCAATGGACAGTCACAGTCATATATCCTTACCTTCCAGATAAAAACAGGAGGAGGCTTAAATGGATGGGATATAGCAAGATATAAAATTTGATCAGTTTCACCATTTGTTGTAAAAGTTGTTTGTTTGTTTTTTAAGTAAGAGTTCAAGCATATGTGATCTATATGATGTCTTTATCCTTGACTTTTCCTCTCACTCCGACCTGAGTCACAACACACAGCAAGTCTCCAAGATATCATGCGCTACTCTCTGTTCAAGACAGAGGAAGAACTGCTTGGTGAACTCAAGGCCATCAATTCACACTATGGCACTGACTCCACAGGAACACGAATCATCATCTGGAATCTCCGCAAGTGAGCATGCTGAAATGTTAGAAATATTGCTAAGATCTGCTAATAATGTTGTTTAGAGCAGTGTTTCTCAACATCAGATTCAGCTTGGTATTGCTAGCACCACACACTTGAAGCACAGGAATGCATAGTTGAAATTGTTCAGAGATTTTATTTTATTTTTTTCTGCGACAGAACATCCACAGACAAATCTGAGTTTGACTTTGAAACAGACCGCTATAACATCCTGATTCCATCTGAAGTTTATGAGACTGAAAAGGAGAAATACAAGCAATCCTGCCGCATATCACAGTCAAGCCCTGAGAGCGACTTCTCCCTGCGGGTGAGTACTTCACCCTCCTACTGTTGAGTAGGTCCAACAGATTACAATCTACTTACTGTATTATCAGTGTGTCTGTGATGAGAGACATCACTTCATTATGCATTACAGTTTGAACCAGCTTGTGGCTTGTCTGTAAGGTAGAGCAGTGCACCACCAAAATATTCATGCAAAACATAGACCTCTACATAAACGGAATCAATAATAAATTGTGAAAAGATATCAGTATTTAAAAAAAGCCATCTTTGCACTACAGTAGCACAAGCTGCATCTAGTTGTATTTGCACAGTTGCAAAAAAAAAAAAAAAGCTTCAATAGAGAAATATAAAATGATGCTAAATATTAAGTGATTGTTTTAAATATTAAAGTAATACTTATCCCATGATTTACTCGCGCTCAATCAATCCTAGGTGTACATTGATGTACTCATAACAAAAGTCCAAGCCCAGTCCATTGGTCCATCCTGACCAATACCTACCCCTGGTCCCTTCCACTCAGGACAGACTGCTCTTTTGTAATATAACTTGTCTCCTGTCACATACATGTCATCCGTGGGCCTGAGCTGCTTACTGTACATACTAGTGCCCTTCTTATCCGCTTAGAAAACTTAATGCTTTCCTAAAAGCATGTACTGTAAAGCAGAAATGTTCTGCTTTACAGTACATGCTCTAGCACTCACACTGGTACCTTCTAGAACAGGTAGTTTATCAACTAATACAGACGGAAGGTTAGGATTCTGTTCAAACCGTAATTGATATGGACAGTGGCCATGAACATTCAACACACTGTTCTTAGCCATGAGGGCCCAGTCAAGGGCAGTGTGC